AGGGAACTGGGTGCACTACCATGCCACAGTCACCATTGCTCCATGAGGCTGTGCTCACCACCATGCCACAGGGCTCTCTGGTCATCCCCGGGCCGTGGCACCCACCATGCTATGGTTGCTACCACACCATGGGACTGTGCTCACCACCATGCCACAGGGCTCTCTGGTCATCGCCATGCCGTGGTCACCACCATACTATGGTTGCTACCACACCATGGGACTGTGCTCACCACCATGCCACAGGGCTCTGGTCATTGCCATGCCATGGTCACTACCGTTCCATGGGACTATGGTCCCCACCATGCCATGGGGCTGTGTCATCACCACCATACCATGGTTGCTACCATACCATGGGACTGTGGTCACCACTATGCTGTGGTCACTATCACACCATGGGACTGTGATGGTCACCATGGCATGGTGCCTACTATGCCACAAGGCCATGGCCACCTCCACGCCATGGCCACCACCATGCCACGGGGCTGCAATGAGCACCACACCATGTCACTAGTGTGCCACAGGACCATGGCCATCTCCATGTCATGGCCACCACCCTGCTGCGGTCACCGCTGTGCCGGCACTCACCGATGGCGTTGAGCGCGTGCTTGAGCTCCAGTGTGAAGGCAGCTGTGGGCACGTCGTCACACACCGGCAGCACTGCCACCGTTGACAGGTTGCTGGTGGGGTTGGTGAGCTCTGAGCTGGAGGCCATGCCCAAGCCGGAACCTGCATGGAAAGAGACGCGGTGGCAGGGGGAGACATCATGACGGGATGGTGGACACCTTCCATGTGCTGCTCTGATGATGGCCGCTGGCCTTGCGGAGGTCACCCCCTTGTCCCTAACCCCTTCGGGACCTACTTGCAAAGGGGCCACGGAGCTGCTGAAGATTTCCCAAGATCTTCTGGCTCAGGAGGTGGATGAGGCGAGTGACAACCTGCAGGGACGAGGATGAGGATGGCCATCAGGGCTTCCCAAGTTGGAGACTCCTTAAGACCCCCAACTGGTGTCCCACATGCCTTTTTGGGTGCCACCACCACCACCACCCATCCTTGGAGACCTCAGAGAGGGCCAACCCTTTAGCACATCAGCCCTTCCCCTCCGACAGCTTTAATCACATCTTGAATTCCTTAATTAAAGCTGGTTTTAACGAGTGTTACGTGCACATGCACCAGACATGGGGACCTGCTTCTTCCCCAGGAAGAGGGTGCCAACCCCAGGATGGGGACCTGGGGGTACCTGGGGGTATCTGCGCTTGATATTGTTCAAGGTGCCCTCAGGCAGCTTGGCCAGCTCCGTGTCCCGGACCGCGTGGACTGTGGTGGCACGGGGCTGCCGGGTGAGGGCTTCCACCTGGAGAAGAAGACATATAGCCAAGGCGTATCGGCAAGACGTACAGGGTGTCCACGGCTTGTCCCCAACATGGCCCTCACCACGCCGATGAGGTCCCCGCGGCCGTACTCCCCGATAAGCTCCTTCTTGCCGCTGCCCTTCTGGATGACGGAGCGGAGACGCCCATTGAGCGCGATGTAGGTGCAGTCCGACTTGTCACCCTGCCTGAGGGACACCGCCAGTGGGACCTCACCTCCCTGTCAAGGCGGTCCTCACCAAGCTGAGGTGGGCACCCACACGTTGATAGCCACCTGTAGAGCGCCCGGCCGGCTTCCACCGCCATCCAGTCAATGGCGAAGTCCATCTGGCGCACGAAAGGTGACATACGGGCAGCCACGGTGTGGGCGACGCTCAGCACCACGCTGGGCTGCTCTCGCATGATCCTATGGGTCAACAGAAGTTGGGGGACATGGTGGTGTTCCCGAGAGATGCCACCATAGCACTTATTGCAGGAATCCCCTTTGGCACCAACCCTTTGCCCCAAACCTCTGCCACCGGTGCCGGGACTCACTCGTAGAAGTCCGACTTGGAGATCTTGAGGAAGGTGCAGTCACGGTTGGCTTTGATGGTGAAGATGAGGGGCTCGCCGGTGAGCACGGCCAGCTGTCCCACCATCTCGCCGGGCTGTGTCAAGAAGAGGCAGACGTCCTCCGCCTTGTCGATCATCCGCTGGTACACGTGTAGGCAGCCCCACAGCACGAAGTGGAGGCTCACGTCCTGCCAAAATGGCACCCTATCACCGCTGGGGACCACCTGGGACCCCCAGGCATGAGGGGTCCCACCGGCACCGCTTGGGGTTTCTTCTGCTGCTCTTCACCAAGCCTTCACCGGGCAAGAGCAGGAACGGTGGCACCCCATGGAAATAGGGGGTAGGGAGAAGCAAGATGCCACACCAGGTCCCCAAAACCCAGACCCACCTGGTCCCCTTGACGAGCAATAACTGTCCCAGCTTTGGCATGATGGAGCAAGACGCGGTTGTTGAGGAGAGAAGGGTCCTGGGGGGAAGAACAAGGTGATGGGGACCACCACAAGGAGACAAATGACCACCGCAAAGTGACAGGGACCATCATGAGGAGATGGGAACCCACCACAAAGTGATAAGGGACCACGATAAGGAGATTGTGGACCACCACAAAGTGATGGAGACCATCACAAGGAGATGGAAGACCATCCCAAAGAGATGCGGGACTACCCAGAGGTCACGGGGACCACCACAAAGTTATGGGGACTCACCACAAGACCATGGGGACCCACCATGAAGCAACAGGGACTACTACAAAGCAACAAGGCACCAACATGAAGTGACGGGGGACCACCACGAGGCAAGGGGGACCACCACAACACCACAGGGACCCACCACGAAGCCGTGGGACACCATCACAACACAACAGAGGACCACCACAAAGCCATGATTTCCCTGAGCCGGCACCGTATCTACCCTCACCTCCACCTTCATCAGCTTGACCAGCTCCCGCTTGGCAGCCTCGAAGATGGCGCTGCTTTGGCGGCCCTGGTAGGGCGCGAAGGGACAGTCCTCCACCACCAAATCATCCTCGCAGTAGTTGTAATGGTAGACACCAGAAGGTTGCTCCTCCACCGTCACCGACTTGCGCTCCTTGGGCTCGTGCGAGATGGACTGCGGGGAGACGGGAGGACTCTGGCACCCGTCCGCGGCGGCGCCGGTGGTGAGGCTGCAGGTGGCCGCAGCGGC